AAATACAAGTGATATTCAAATGACAAGAGGTAGTAGGAAATGACACTCATAAGTACATTATTCGAAAGCAAAAATTGATATATTAATGGGAAATTAAATGTTAGAAATACACGTGTTAAAAGTCAAGTTAATGTTGTAAGTAGGTAGGACAGTATAACTATTATTATTGCATACATTTTGCAGTAACTGATGTGAATGCCGATGCCCAGATTTTCGGTATATTATCAGCTGGTAGAATTACGAAGAAATGATGACTGCTTCTATTAAAAAAAAAAAAAAAAAAAAAAAAAAAAAAAAAAAAAAAAAAAAAAATATATATATATATATATATATATATATATATATATATATATATATATATATATATATATATATATATTAATTCCAAGTGATATGAAATAGCGAAGTGTAATATCGTTACGTAAAATTATTGGAAAATAATCACATCTACAGAACTGACACAGAAATGTTAAAAAAAAAAAAAAAAAAAGATAAAATACGAGGAAAGAATATAAAAGATGCCTTATCAAAGCCCTTTGTTGAATATACAATTCATATGCAATATGCAGTATGAAAAAAAAAATCCTTTTCTGTATTTTTCTTATTTTCTTGTTTTCTTCTCATTCGGTTAACATGTTATAGAGATAATGATTAAAAATATGAAAATAATAGTAGAAACTATTACGCTAGAATACATGTTGATACTAAGAATGAAAATTATAATGATAATAATAATCATTAGGGTACTGATGATGATAATGATTTTAAGGACTATGATAATGCTGATCATAATGATAATGATGACAGTAATAATATTGATAATAATAATAGTAATAATCGTGTTGATGTTCAAATAACAATGATAATGTAAATAAAAAAAATGATAAAGACAATAATAGTAGTGATAACAAGAGTAATAATGACAATAATAATAATATGATGATAATAATAATAATGATGATGATGATGATAATAATAACAGTGAAGAATAACATTAATGATAACAATAATAATGATAATTACAGTGATGATAATGATGGCGATAATGATAATGATAATGAAAATAAAGATAGCAATAATAAAACATGATTATATTAATCGAAATGATAATAATAATTATAAGGATGATAATGATAAAAATGACGATAATGATAAAGATGATAATGATGATGATAATAGCATTATTAGATTTGATGATATTATCAAAATTATTATTATCATCATCATTATAATCATAACAGAGATAATGATACTACAAATGATAATGATAATTATAATAATTATGATAATTATAATAATTATG